AAAAAAAAAGTTGCACTAATGAGTCAAGAATTAAAAATAAATGTCGAGTCTCTTACCCAGCAACTGCCACTGTGAGTACTTCTGCAGGACCTGAATGACTTCGCCTCCGTATTTCTCCAGTTTGTCCTCCGTCACACCATCAATCTGCAGGAGAACTCCAGGGTCAGAGGAAAGCTTCTCTGTCATTGGAGGGAAAAACGAGAACAGAACAGGTGAGAAGATTCCAAACTGTGGTCTTTTATAAAAACTGTTTTGTTTTTTTTTTAAAGATTTTCACACAGTACCAGCGATCTTCTTCAGGGTGGCAGTGGAGAAGATGTTGAAATAGTGAAGGCCGAAGGCTTTGCCGAGCTGCTTGCACAGATCCGTCAGCTCCTTCAAACACTCCTCAACCTTCTCCTCTCTCTGGGACACGTTCTTGGCCACGGCAGCCTTCTGTTTACGGACACTGGAGGCGCTCTCCGTCTCGTAAAACTCCACCTGCAAATGCGGACTCTTTTTTTAGTGGACTCTTGAAGCACGTTTTGACCCGGTCGTACAGTAAGTACCGTAATCACTGTATGAAACGTCACCTGCATGTGTCCAGACAGCACGTTCATGGCTTTGGCTCCAGCTGAGATGTAGGCCACGGCCTGACTGTTGATGGTGATGTACAGGTCCTCAACCAGGATGTTATCAAGAACCAGCTTCTTAAAGAGACGGTCAGCGTTGTGTCTGGAGTAGGCTCCGCCCATCCCAAACAACCCTGTCTGAATCTTTGCTGTTTTTGACCCTGGCAAAACAAAACATACCTTTCACTGACTGCGTGATTCTTATAAAAAAGCTCGTGCAATAATAAAGGATTAGTGCAAATTACTATTATTAACAATTACAAAAAAGGGGCCTGTTTATTACACACTTTACGACTGTACTTTTGAAACAGCTCCTAACAAAATAACTCACGGTGCAACAGTTGCAAACCAAAAAGCATTGTTGGAAAAAAAAAAAACAAGTATTAGGTTGAAGTGAGTATTACCAAGAAAGATATCCACCAGCATGTTGAGGGTCAGTCTGGTCTGCTGAGCGCTCCTATTAAACCTCCCACCGACTTTCTCACACTTGTCCTGGACGAACCTCACAATGTTCTTCACATCTTCTGTCACGTCTCTGATCTTGTATTGCTACGAAAAGGAAAATACAAGTTGATCGAAAAACAACATACATACATATACAGAGACACATACACACGACTTATATATTAAAATGTATAATTTCACGTTTGTTATTTTCACACTGACCGCCGCTAGAGGGCGCTCTAGGCTTACGTATCAGTATCTGTTAGTCCTGTACCACTAAAAGTTTACGTTTGTTAATTTTACACTGAGAGTCGCTAGAGGGCGCTCTAGGCTTATGTACCAGTATATGCTAATAAGTACTACTGTAATTTTTTTTTGTCTTTTTGTCATGGTGCGACAAATAGTCCGGAAAGATACCGTACATACATACATACATAAATATATAAAAACATGTTGTTCCTACGTTGGGTTTGGAGCAGTTGTCGCAGCTGACGTCAGGGTGGTCTTTGCAGAAACTTCTCCTGAACTTGAGTTCTCCAAAGTAAGCCAGCAGCTGAATTCTCCTGCACTCCATCATGTTCTCGCAGAAGTGCACCATGCTGTGGAGGTTGTTGTAATGAGTGGATTTGGTGTGTTGGTCCCCTTCTCTGTCCACTGTGGAGAAAAGAAAAAAAAAAGATTTGAGAAATAGCACAGGTTACAGAAGGTTCTCTGTGTACATCAAACAGAGGCGGACCACGACGACTGAGAATATCCACAAATATGTAGCAAAATCAAAAAACAACTTCAACAGTGAAGGGAGGTAACATTTCCGGTTAAATGACTCAATTTAACTACATATACTGTGGTTCTAAATTTGGCCACAAACCCATCAATGTTTCAAGATAAGGCAGGAACATCAGAGGTGGGTGGAGGTCAAAGTACAGAGTCCAAGATACAAATCCACCACAGTGATTTTACAACAATGCTAACACCACAAAAACAAAATTCAGGCTTCAAAAAAAAAAAAAAAAAAACAAAAAAAAAAAAAAAAAAAAACCACGTACTGCCTATGATCCTCTTGATGCGGTGGACGTCACTGTAGGAGTAGAAGAGGATGCAGTGAGAGATCTCTCCATCCCTGCCGGCTCGGCCCGACTCCTGGTAGTAACCCTCCACTGATTTCGGCAGACTGGCGTGGATCACGTAGCGCACATCAGGCTTGTCAATGCCCATGCCGAAGGCTATGGTGGCGCAGATGACCTGGGAAATAAAGAGGGAAGAGGGAGAAGTATAAAAACACCATCTATAATTACTGATAATGAGTAATTAAGTGGTGACCTTACCTGACAGCCGTCCTGATTGATCCACTTACTCTGCACATACTCTCTGTCACTGTCTTTCAGCCCAGCGTGATAGGACAACGCTAATATTCCCGCTCTCTGCAGACTCTCTGCCATGGCATCGCAGTCGTTACGGGACAGACAGTAAACTATTCCAGAATCTCCTGTAACGCAAAAGAAGCTTAAGAAAAAAACAGCAGGGCTCATGGATGACACACGAATTGTACCAAAAAAAATTAAAAAAATCACTTCAGATTTTGATTATTGATGGATTGTTGATGCTGAGATCGCGTCAGAGAATTCAAACTAACTTACGTGGGTAGTACTTCTTGATCCAGTTGGTGCAGTCCTCGTCCACCTTTTTGGGTTTCTTGGGCAACACAGAATACTTCAAGTTTGTCCGGTTAAAACTCATGGTAAACCTGAAGGAAATGTGGGAATAAAAGAAGAACGGTTCAGTTCTGTGACCAAGAATCAGACATAATACTAGACTAATGTATTATCTGAGACTTACACTTGTGGCTTGGACATATTTAGCTGGTTGAGAATATCTTTCTGGACACGAGGAGTGGCCGTGGCGGTCAGCGCCATCATCGGCACACTGGGGAACTTGTGGCGAAGTTCATGCAACTTCTTGTAGTCTGGACGGAAGTCGTGGCCCCACTGAAAAGATTTGAAAGGTAATTTACCATAACCGTAGTAAATATGCAGACATAAATGAGGTATTTCCAACAAGATCAGATAGAAGCTCACCTGACTGACACAGTGAGCCTCGTCTATGACAAACCGCACCAACAGGCCGCGCTCGTACAGGTTTTGAAGTGCTGAGATCAGCCTGTTACTAGCACTCAACTAGGAGAGAGGAAATGGTCATTTAGAAAAACAAAAACAACATGTTTTTAACTCCAATTAAAGTTGAATTAACGTGTGGTTCGCCACCTTCTCCGGTGTGACATAGAGCAGTTTAAAATTGGGGTCTTTTCTGGAGAGCTGCATGTAAATCCTTGCTGCTTCGCTGTCACTTTTATCACCAGACAAACTTGTTGCTGGAATCTAAAAAAGCAAAACATTCAAATCAACACAAGGTGAAAAAAAAAAACCCACACAACATGTTTGGATGGAATTAAAACACTTACTGCCAACGTGGTGAGTTTCTGGACCTGGTCCACGATGAGAGATTTCAGCGGCGAGACGACCACGGTGACGCCTGAGGACAGACAGGCTGGCAGCTGATAACACAGACTCTTCCCACCGCCTGTAAAATGCATCAAGGACAGAGGTTTTGGACAACATACGGGATTTTATTTTTTCTTCTAATGTGTATCAACCAACCTGTGGGCATCAAAACAAACGTGTCTTCTCCCAGCAGCGTAGCATTGATGGCCTCCAGCTGATTGAACCTGAACTGATGAAGACCGAAGCGCTTGTGGAAGATATTCATCATCTCCTGCGAGTGAGGGAAGTTGAAGGCTCGGAACCGATCGTGGGCTGGGTTTCTGTAGTTGGGCTCTACAGAGGCAAACGCCATGGAGTAACGCAACGTAACGCAAAACCCTAAAGTACAATACATACTTTAAGAGTATTAATACACAATGGTGGACTTACCAGGGGAGGAGATCTGTGGTTTGGGGGCAGACACAGGAGTTGTTGGTTTGTTCTCCCACGCAGACTTGCGCGGCCCTCCATCTTTCCTCGCACTAGACACAGAGATGGAGTTTCGCGCCGACGCAGACGACGAGGGAGGAGCTTCGTCAAAATAGCCCGGGATATCGGAGTCGTTAAAGTCGTCTATGTCGAAGTCATCAAAGTCAAAGTCATCCAGTCCTGGCTCTGGTTCTTGTAGAACCGCAGTAGTAGTTGGAGAGTTCGAATCCCTTTTGGGCGAGTAAAAAAGCGCCGAACTGTTCACAGGTTTAGAGGTTTCCTTTGAGAAGTTAAAGGACGGCGTAGCAGAGACGTGATCAGACGGACTCTGGATATTGTTCTCCAGGTGCTGTTTCCCAGTTCTTGTTGTAGTGTGAAAAGGCTCTGGATCGATGAGACTGTCGGAGTGGTCCGAGTCATAATCCAGGGAGATTACTGAAGACCTCTGAGGGTGAAGGGGTTTTTTGGAGGCCGTGGGAAAAAGGCTGCTGTGAGACAAGATACTGGAAGCATCACATCTGTGTTTAACGCTGGGTTCAGAAATCACAGTGCTGTCTGGCTGCTGCTTCCTGAACAAAGCATCACCTCCCTTGGCAATAATCCTCTTCCTGAAAAGAAAAGAAGAGATTAGAGGTTTTATGAAAGTATTTTGAAAGCAAGTAAAAATAGCTTTAGGTAAATGTACAGACCGTAGAGCCCTCTTCATCAAAAGCTCACTTCCACAAGTCAGGCCTATTAGTTCATGATCAGGAATGGAATCAACCAGACAACAAATGGACTCCATGACATTGAAAAGCTCATCATCTGGGACAAAAGACAAAGACTCAAAGGTGAGGACATTTGAACTGATTTAGGACAAACATTCTTGGATAAATCTGAAAAAAGGTTTAATACACATACATGTCTTCACTTCAGAACGTGGAGCAGAGGTTTCAGCCACGCTGTTGGTGGGTCCCTTGGAAAACACTTTACTATTTCCACTTACAGCTTCAACTGGCTTGGATCTGTTAATTAAATTAAAATGCATTAAAAAATTACCTTTGGATCAGATCTAACATTTTGGGAACCACTGGCAAATTGAAAATTGTTAAATAACACTTGAAGGCTGGTTGATGGATGGATGGATGGATAGATTTAGGCTTTAAATTCTGACAATCTTCATTTTTTTCTTTTTTTGTTAGCCAGCAAAATAAACAATCTCCCTGGACAAATATGACACTTGTTTTTCTCTTTGAGAAAGAAAGAGAAATAGAAATAAATGACCTTGTCTTCACAAAAGATGATTCAGGGGTGATGCCATCAGATACTGGCGAGGGCGGAATGTAATCCAGGTCATCTTCGGTCTCCGACAGGTTGTCAAGCTCTATTACTGTGGACTCTGTCTTTTCTTTGTGCTCTAAAGAAATGTAAAAAAGCGTTACATAAAACCCAGCAATATTGAATACATTTGCTGCAGCAAGTCTAGTATCTTACCTCTGGGTTCTTTAGAAGGTTCAGACACAAGGTTGAAGCCCTCGTCTTCACTTTCATTGACAACAGATTTCACCTTAGCAACGGAACGTCTTCGTCTTGTGGGCAAAACCGGGGAGTCTCCCAGTAAATCCTCAGGATCCAGGTCAAAGCTAGGTCCTGGTGAAGCAGCATTTTTATCCTCGTTGACTTCGAGTTGACACAAATCCTCCGAGTCACTTTTAGATGTAGTGTTCTTAGAAGAGGTGACCAGCCTTCCCCTCGCTGTCACTTCTGTTTTTTCGTCCACAGCTTTCGACACCTGCGTGGTGCTGTTGCCAGATTTTTCCGAACCAAACGAGTCATTCTTTGTTTTGGCAGGGATTTCAAAGTCATCAAAATCATCCCAGTTGTCTATTGGGAATCCAACAGATGAATCCAGATCAACAGAGGTGTTTTTCCCACCACTGACCTGGCTGTCAGTCGGTGGCGCTGTTGTGACTTTAATATCAGGGACTGGTGAAGCACATGGGGCTGTGGTGGCTGCTGGACTGATTGAGTTTGACTTGTCTTTTGAACTCATAGAGAAGTAGTTGTTGATTTTGGACTTTTCAGGTCCCTCAATCTTGTTTGAAAAAAGAGGTTTAGTCACTAAACTGCTCTTTAGGGCATTAACATTCCTGTTTGCCAAAACACCTGAGCTGATTACCTTGCTAGGAACCTCTACTTTTGTTAAACCTGACGAGGTCTTCTTTTTAAAGGAAAATGTCCTAAAAAAAACACAAGCATAGCCACAAAGTTAATAAACGTGCCCGGCAATTAAATGAGTAATGTGGGTCAGCCGGTAAAAGAAGGAAATATATATTAAACAGTTCAACTCAAACGATTTGAACTCGCAGCCAAATAACATCAAAGTCATTAGCAAACAACAGCAAAGGAGCAAAAAATAAATAAATAAATAAACAAAACGAATTCATGTCACGCTAAAGCAAATTATCGGAAAGAAAAACAATTGCAAATGTAAAGCAAGAATGTGACGTTACAAAATGTGTAGTTATGTATTTGGGAACAACTAGAGGGCAATGAATCAACTCTGCTAAACAGATTTGGCAGCGGAGATGCTAAATAGTAGCCGATGAGTAAATATCACTACGTTCTGATTTAACGTCATTGTTCGACTCAAACTTACCCAGGTTTTGGTTTGGACAGAGACAGTTTGCTGTTTGAAGCAGTGCTATGTCTCGCCAGCTGCTCCTTCAGGTTGTTTTGTGGACATTGTTGTTGTTAGCGGAGCGCAGCTAACGACTGTTAGCCACTGCTATTTTCTTCAGCGACACGGAATTCAGTGGATTGCAGAAGACTCCCAATCTTAGTACGATTGATAACACGTGCGCCCCCAAACACAAACAGTGGTAAGTACTTCGTGTGATGCCATTTACCCACCAAGAGTGTCTACTTCTCTATCACTGCGCGAGGTACATATAAAAAAGACATGGTTTAGCGCCCGTTCTCTATGCCGACCGCTGATTGGCTGTATCTGAGCCGACGCACTAGGATCTGGGAAATGTAGTTCCGACTCCATTGTTCTTCTTCGTCTTGTTCATTGTCGTCTTCTACTTATTCTACTTGTCTTCTTTGTATTATTATTATTTTGTATTATTATTATTCGTTTTCTTATTCTACTGCAACTTCTACTTCTTATTTAATTTCTACTTCCTTTTCTCTTCTTGCCAGTTGTCTTCTATTTCTTTTTCTACTTCTCTTTGTTCAACTTCAATTACTACAACTACTTCTACTGCTCTTCTTCTTCTCCATCTCCTTTTCTTTCTTGTCAGTTTCAAAAACCATTGCTCGTAGAATACCAAACAATGTAATTGACTAAAAAAATAACAGAAAGTAGTTTATGAATAGCGTAAAGTTAGCAAAACAAAAAGTTTTGTTGATAAAGTGATTCACAAACAAATGTATGTTATACTTTTATTATTATGCTTTTATTTTAAAATTATAGCCCATCATTGTTAGAAACACTTCACATTATTGTGACAAATAGAAAAAGTGATTTGTAAAATGTTGATTGATTGATTAGTTGATTGATTGATTGTACTACTGATATGGCTTTAAACCCCAGCTGTGTCCAAAGACTGACTTTGGCTTCACTCTCAGCCTTGGAACACTAGTGTCTCTTTATACTGTAGAGGTCAAACCACGGGGAAAGATGCACAGGCAGCGAGTCCACACATGTTCTTCCCACGTTCAATCAGAAAATATCTGTAAAAGGTAAACAAAAACAATCAATGTCGGACTTTGTTCTGGAAAAGTTTGGAAAGAATGCCTTGATGTGGAGACTTACCCGTTCATCCCCCAGTGAGAGGACCATGAGTTCTTTACTATCCAGTAGGAGGTGCCGTTCTCTTGTCCGTAACCGACGGCCAGCACTGCGTGGTTCACCTTGTCTGTGGTGTTGTGGCATTCAGTGCTAAAAAGCAGAAGAGTGAAAAGAAGGTGTACAGGGTTTAAAGATATTGAGAGATTAGTTTTGCCTCAACATCACACCGTGTCTGACCTGGTGTACACGCCCTGGTCGTAAGACATGAAGTCAGAGGTCACCTCAAAGGCGAAGCTGACTGGATTCCGTGTGGCCACAGAGTCCTCCAACCCTGCTTCGTCATACTGGAGAATAACCAAACAACACTCTCAGATAATAACATTATTAAAACCTAAACTGTGATCTTTGCGGTGATTTCTTCACTCACGGCTGTTATGTTCATCACTTCTTTTACGAAAGCAGCAGCGTGTTCCGGCTGATACACACACGAGCCTTCCTGTAAACAACAACAACAACAAAACAGAACAATTCAAAACAAAATAATTACATCATATTTCAGACGGTGTTGTGTCATTGAGGTTAAAACAGCGGATCGCAGACTCACATAAGCTCTGTATGGATAGTCTGCCTCAGTCATCAGTCCTTTGTTGTACATGATGTATTCAAAGGCTTGACTGGGGAGACCACTGTGAGGGACGGACAGGACAGGGCAGCCATTTTACATATCAGCAGTATTTTTTATTATTTGACATTTTTGGTATTATATTTGAATATTTGTCTCTCACCCGTTACATCCGTGGTTGTTGAAGTCCTGAGCACAGTCCACCAGCTGCTGTTCTGACTGAATAATTACAAATGTGGGTCACAGAGGGCATTATGATGGCAGTCAGTGGTTAATGTATAATTTGTCCATCTGTGATCTTTTATTTATTTATTTATTTATTTTAATACAGTACCAGTGGTACTAGTTTTCCAGTGGCGATGGCAGTGACAGACTCCAAACAACCAGTTGTGGAAAAAGTCCAGCAGCTGCCGCAGTTTCCCTTTGGTTCAATAGGAAAAAACACAAGTCAATACAACACTTGAATGTTTTATTTTTATATATATACTGTATATATATTCTGTTTTACCTCTGCAGGTGCGACTTTAAAATATATAATTTCACATTTGTTATTTTCACACTGACAGCCGCTAGAGGGCACTCTAGGCTCGTGTACCAGTATCTGCTACCCCTGTACCACTAAAAATGTATACGTTTATAAATTTCACACTGACAGCCGCTAGAGGGCACTGGTGTGATTTAGACTCCGGAGCGTGTTTGTTTTGACATATGATGCACAGGCAGCGCCCCGAAATTTTATAAAAATTCTATTGAATATTAAAACCACAGGATGAAAACATGAGTTTTTGGCACTCTTTCTTGTAGCACTGATTACAAGCACTGAGTCCTCTAGGGGGCGTGTTGAAATGTGTAAAATAACATGCTAAATTGGATGTTTGTGGTATAAACCCTCTAGGTGGCGTGTTGAAATGTTTAAAATATGCTAAATTGGATGTTTGTGGTATAAATCCTCTAGGGGGCGTGTAGAAATGTGTAAAATAACGTGCTAAATTGGATGTTTGTGGTATAAAAGAATTAGAAAACAAAAACTTTACAGCAATCCTATTAATCTCCACCTGATTTTTCACGTCCGTCACGTAGTTTCCTTTCTTCCTCCAGTCAACAGAATCTGGTAGAAGCTTGTTGCTGCTCCTGTAGTTTCCTCTGGTTGCAGAGCAGTTCTGCACGAGGAAAAAAAAGAAGAAAAAAATCGCTCCTGCATCTCTGACAAAAATCCAAACGAACAACCTTGTTGACATTTTTACCTGTGGCTCAGACCAGAGATACGTCTTTTTGAATTCCCCAAAAGTCATGTCGGAAAACTGGTTCAGACTCACTGCAGAAATATGAGATCAACTCATGTCAGTTAGATCATTTTTGAATTGAAAAAAAAAAAGAGAGAGACTCAAACCTAAACCCTGTTACTTGTAAAAGAGTGGTTTCCTTCATTGTGTTTCTCGATCCTCCTCTTATTCTCCGTGAATATCTGCAGTCTCTTGTAGTACTCCTCTTCGTTGTACACTCTGTTGTACTGCAAAAGGAAGGATCGGTTTAGACTGTCATTTGTTGATAATTGTGTAATTTTTTACTTTATTTGTGTCCTATCACTAATATATAAATTACTCATAAATGCATGGATATGTTTGGTCAGTATTTTAAGATATTACCGTGCAATAACGAATTCTACATTTTTGAAAATCAGCCTTTAGTTTTAATTAATGTAAATTATCACAGTATTAAAACACGATTTTATATAAACAAATAATAATTTAAAAAAAAAGACGACGAGGCGCTGATCACATTGTTGACAGTTCATGATCACAAGTAAACGGTGCTGTGATTTCTAGGTAACTTCCTGTTACACACACGGTACACGCGCGCGCGCACACACACACACTGAGAGAGTATAGAACGTGATCAAATGTACGCACCTGCGTCATCCAGGACTTGAATTGAGACTCGTCTGAAAACAATATAAAAGTTAGAAATGACGCACATTTTTAAATAGAACAACAAACGCGCGTTGCACGCGGAAAACGAGGTGCAGAATGTGAAAGTGAAACCGTATTTTTTTTTTTTTTTTTTTTTTTGCACATTAACACAGAAAACCTGAGGGACGATCTTACCTTTTTCAGACAGGTGTAAGGCTGGAGCTGCAGCTAGCAACGCGCAGAGAAAAATAATCGTTATCATCCTGATCGTAAAAGTTGAACAAAACGAGGCAGAAGTTGAAAGTGAAGTGAAACTTCAGCTGCTGAGGCCAAACAAATGAAGAGGAAACAGTAGCTACAGAAACCAATCCATTCGCTCTGCCTCCGTGCAGGGCCGGTTCTAGCCTGCTGTACCCGAGGGGGCTCAGGAATATAAGGTGTGCGGTCGGCCGATATTATCGGACATCCTTATTAATAATAAGTTTGAATTTATATTCTCACTACATCAAAAAAATATTGAGACCTTTTATACAATATATTCAGTGCAACCAATCATGATGTTTTAATATTTTGTCCACTAGAGGGCAGGCCACTCAGTTTGCTGCATCAAAAATTTGTAATTTTTTTGTGGTATTTATGAAGTTTGTCCACTGTTGTCCAAATTGTTTCCAGCCCAGGTTGTAGCACGGTGGTTGGTAGATGATCACCGATACATCGACACAAATACTGACATTTACACATTGTACAAATATAAAAAAAGTTTTTTATGGTAAAAAATATTTACAATTTAGAAAATGTAAGGTACATTTTTTAATAAGCAGGAGTAAATACAGCCAATACAACCAAGACAGAACATATGAATATTTGTTTACGTGCTGCCTATACTAGAGCATAGTATTATTCTGAAGGTTAGCCATAAAAAACATTTAACATTTCCTTCCAGGTACTGATGTATAGTGCATTTTAAGGAATACATGTTTTTTTATTATTATTATTTAAGGTCATATCGTGCAATGCTATGTAGACTGTTATGTATTGACAGGTTATTTTTGTTAAAGTAAAATTTGCCTTTCCATGTTGTGACCAATACCAAGATGACCGTGATGTCAGCTGACCGATGATCTACAAAAACACTTGAGACAAAATGCCCCTGAGATCAAATGGATTTATTAGCAAGAGGTAACTGGGAAACAAATTTGAATTATTATTTTTTTTCTCTTTATCGTCAAACCTTCCGTTGTCTTTTTGAATTTATTATTTATTTCTTACAAAATGGGGAATAGTTTAAGGTGTCGGGTTGAACAAGAGGGTTGAAAGATAATTTTCATACCACCGGGTATTGCTAACAGCAAAATGTTTATTTGTTAATATACCTTATAAGATTATGTGCATGTATAAGTGTATACAGTATAAGTATATAGTATTATTCTGTCTGTGAATGTGTTGCATGCCTGCCACAAGAGCTTTAAAAGTGTACTGTACATACATAGTAAAAATACAAATATTCACAGAATAAGCACTACGTTACTATATTCCTGCTAACAGAAATGGTTATAGACAGGATTACAGTATAAATGCAAAACACTCCAAAGTCATCTCCGACTGCACGTATCTCCACATCACGGCGTCCGGACCACACTGTCGTAACAGCTTTGATTTTTAAAGGAGAAATCTGGTACTGTATGTTATTGACTTCCATTGAGTTTGTGATGCTCAAAATATCATTCCAAGTACTACGCAACATAGCTTTGTGTATTTACCTTTAGACAAACGGTAACTGCGCGTCATTATTGTCGCGTCATTTGTCAGCGAATTATGGGATACATTGAGCGCCAGTTATAGTGGACCACGTCTACTCACTAAACATTCGGACAGCTGAGCGCCCGTTATAGTCTACTCACTAAACATTCGGACAGCACTTCAAAATGGTGCACACTATATAGGGTGTGTGGTGCGATTTCTCAAAATGGTGCGCACTATATAGGGTGTGTGGTGCGATTTCGGACGCAGCGCTAGTCTTTTCAAAACCTGTTGTGTAATTTGAACCTCATCAAAGGTTAATACTTTTGTCTTGTTTTGTTTTTTTACAGTTACTGCGAATTGGAGTCTCAAAAGTATATGGTTCATGTTGCATAGCACGTGTAAAGACATTTTGAGGAACATTTTGAATTTAAAAGTCTTCCTTAAAAGGTTGGCCAATCTAACTAAGGGATTGTATCTTCGAGCAGTTGTTTTTCGTCAGTCCGTGGAGCTCTATTAAGTAATTGGATTTTTTTTTGTACAAATCTACTTAGATACTGCCAACCTGTATCAGTTATTTCATACCAAAAATACTTGCTGTTGTGAAAATGTCTTGATATGTCTGATGATATTACTATTTGTTGAAAACATCCAGATTTCTCCTTTTGCATTACAACCCAGCCAGCTTTATTGACGTGGGACACAACAGGGTATGAGTCGACCTACGGTGTTCCAACTCTTATACCCCTTTGGTCCAAATGGGGGCATCTGGGTACGACTTGCAGTCCAGAATTGTTGCTCGGTTCCAGCTCATGTCCACTTTGTACCCATGTTGTCCAACAAAACAATTGAACATGCTGATTGGGACGTCTTATTGAAGGGGATTACACTGGTTCCACGTAGAGAAATATGCAGGGCTGCATGTACAAAATGTACAGCTCAGATCAGTGAGGTGAGTTAACAACAAAGTACAAAATACTTCCCATGTACATATAAAGAGCAGGTCACTCTCTCCCATATACTACTACAAAAATAGTGTTTGAATGCTGCAGGCAGAGGCCATTCACATGTGGTATCATAAGTCTTAACAGCAATGCATATAACAGAGTGGTATACAGTCACGTTCCACAACCACTGGAACAGCATAGAGAACAGATTGTCGTTTAATTACAGAAGAGCCACAACCGTTGTTTTTTTTTTTTTGTTTGTTTGGTTTTTTTTTTTTACTCTACAGAGGGGTCGTCGGGCCTGAAGGTACAACACTGACCGATCGCACGTGAGCTTCTGTCATGGGACTGAGAAACGATTGGTAGAAGTCACGGCTACTGCGCTGTCTCAGAACCTCAGGTTTACTTCAGAGTCACAGCAATCTAAGGAGATATTGATCTGCCTCGTGCTGTTTCACATGTTTTCTTCAATGATTCAAAGTAAGATGAGGAGTTTGAGGTGAAAACAGGCTACACCAGCAGAGGTTCCCAACCCCAGGTCAGTGGACTGTTACAAACCAAAGCAAATGCAGGTCTTATCCTGGGTTACTCTAAAACCAGAGTAGGACTGCTTTGGGTGATTTGTTTCACCAGACAAAAAAAAGTCCCAAAAATATATTTTCCCTCATCCAAATGGTCCAAACAGAAACCAGTGTCAACTGTCAAAATTGATCAACTCCCAAGTCTGGAAACCAAATATGGGTCACGAGTAAAACCACCCAAAACAAGTCCGCATAAACCCAGTCAAAAGTAAAATATTTTTTCTAAAAATGTTGAATCTTACCTAGACTTGAACTCACTTTTCATATACCATATTTTCCAGACTATAAGGCGCACTAAACACTACCTAGACTTCAACTCAGTTTTCATATACCGTATTTTCCTGACTATAAGTTGCAATTTTTTATCCTTTTGCTGGGTTTCCGACTAAAGTACATAATTTCACGTTTGTTATTTTCACACTGACAGCCGCTAGAGGGCACTGGTGCGACTTATACTCCGGTGCAACTTATAGTCTGGAAAATACAGTAGACAATTTAGACAATATGTGAATGAATGAAACTCTTCTGTTTCATTTGGACTTCTAAGTGTTTCCAAAAACATTCCAATCATTACTTTATCGTTTCGTTGTATCGTGCTACGTATTGTATCGCCAGATTCTTGCCACTACACATCCCTAGCTTCCCCTCACATTTTGTTCTCCGTACGAGCATGTCGTCGGGAACAGACAGATGAGCCGCTGGGGGAATGTTTTCAGGGTGACGTCCGTACAGTACCTGCCTCTTCCAGCCTTTCGGTTTATTGCTAAACAGCAAATGACAGCATGTGACGTAAGATGCTGAGCATCACAAACAAACCCGGCTAACGCGTTAGCGTGGTCTGCGTGATCCTGTCGGCACACTGGAATGAAACATTATATTTGAAACTATTGCTGTGGCTGAGAGCAGCCTGAGAGACGCGCTGTTGTTATTTCAGGCTCGTCAAAGTTCAGAACATGTGAGGTAACAAGGCTGGAGTCGGCATCCTGACCTTTTTTTCAACCCTCTGACTTCATGGCTGGTGGGTGAAAATGAGTTTCTGCACTACCACCACTGTCCTCAGTCCATGTTGTGGTTGGGAACCTCTGTGAGCACAAATGGAAACAGGAATCACTACTGTTTTGGTTTGGAGAAGCACAGAGACCGTTTTGCTCGCTGACTTCCACTGATAATTGTCACACAGCTTCTGATACACTTATATAATCTGTGCTCTTTTTACCTGATTTGATGCAGTTACATTTTTTTTTTTACATTGCTACATTGTTTGCAGAGGAATTCAGTCATCCATAAAAGTGACTGAACAATGCGTCAAAATCCACGGCACTGGCTGCACCAGTGCCCAGAAAGTGCAAAGTGGACACAGTATGATGATAATGAAGAGGCAAAATAATGTCATTGGTCACGGTGAAAACACATCTGGGCGCAAACACAGTGACCTCTGTTATTATGCTTTTCCAAAAACTCCAACGAAACATCTGAGTAAATGCTTAAAGCAGGTGGTTTGGTGTCAAACGATGGTTACAAACGAGGAAAAACATCAACTGTACAGAAGAGGGCATTTCTCCAACATGTACAACTATAGAAAAGTCTGGGGCGGGGGGGCGGTCGGGGTGTATGCTTAGTGATTTGAATATCAACAGAGGAAATAACGTGAACCACCACCGTCATCATCAGTTGGGCACTTTGGGCTCAATTCTGAGCGAGGCTTCGTACATGCTTTCTTCATCCAGAACGTAGCTCCTGTCCAGCAGATACTGGGCTACCTGGAGCACGATAAAACCAAAACGTTTGTTAATTTGAACAAAAATGTTCTTCAAATTAAATGTATGCAAGCTGCGTGTAGAGGAAAAACAAATGTTATGCATGTCATTGTTGCTTAACGATAAATAAATTAGTCAACATTAAAGTGCATGAACAAAATAAAAATAAATGAGAAAATTATATATGTCGCCACCTGGTGGCTTAATTTATTAACACAACCATTTTGCCTTTATTGGTAGTTTTATTCTTTTACCTTTGGTTGCAGGTCGATCTTGTAGGCTGTTTGCTGAAACTGCCTAATTTCTCTGATGATGTGGGAAATCTGAAACAGACCGTAGTACGCAGTAGTACGCAGTAGTACACAGTAGTACACAGTATTTATTAGCCTGTGACAGGACATGAGGAGTTGTCACTCACCATCCTCATCTTGGAGAAGTTGACCAGGTTGTCTTCGGTGTAGTTCGGTGTCCCCTCTTCGATGAAAGCCAGGTCGGTGAGGTACATCCCCAGGTACGGGACACAGGGGGGGTCACAGCTGGTGAGGAACACAGACCACCGTCATCCAATCACACTGCTAATGAAACCTAGTGTCACGATCTGAAACAACGTCCTTTGAACTGGACTCACTTCTTCAGAGCCTCTCTCAGGTTTTTGAACCTCCCCTCTGAGGAGACCAGCTTCTGCAGCTTGTCAATCAGCGCCTTCGTCTGCAGAGTTCAGTGATTAAATAAGACTGAGAAGTATTCGAAAGAAACACAGAACCAACACACGGTGAGAAAGAGAGAGAGAGACAAACCTGCTTAGAAACTTTGAGCCAGGTCTTCTTGAGGCGAAAGACAGAACTGCGGTTGAGAGACGAGGTGATCTCCAGCACCGCGTTGTAGTTGTGGAGACAGCGGCAGATGTCGGCCACGGCCACCCACTTCTCTATCACCGTCACCCTGGGAACCACGTCGTCGCACCGGAGGATCTCTGTGGCGATAAGGTTACTTATCTGCAAGAGGAAAACCACAGAAACCACGAAGGGTGAGGATTGAAGACCGGAGTCGACGGATGTTTATGAGGTCCATCAGAGCCTACGTCGTTGAAGTGCTTGGTTGTTCTCATGATGAACGGTGTCTTCTCGTTTTTGTCATTTTTCATCCATCCTTGACCAAAGAATTCTCTGCAGAGTGGTGAAGAGATTCACAATTTTTATTTACAAGAATTTGGCACTTGGAGAGGTGATGATGTGAAGACACTTACTCGTAGGGGATGACCTTGAAGACCAGGTGGTCCAGCAGGGTGAGCTGCTCCGCTATCTCCAGTGCAGAGTGACTCTCAAAGGGCTCGGCCTTTCCTGCTCCAACCTGAAAGACACAGAAAACAGTTTGAAGGAGGCTTAAGCAACTGGGCTGGTTGGTACCCTATCGCCTACCTCTACCCAATCTCCCCACCTCCCAAAAGACAAAGACTTTCCCTACTAAAACTCCCCACCTCCCAAAAGACAAAGACTTCACTTCTTCAGATTGTAACGTCCAAAATCGAATTGTCTCCCTCAAACTCACCAGCGGTGTCACCTCCTCCAGGGTGATCTGACTGTCTCCGTGATCTTCCTGAGTTAGAGTCCTGATGAGGCCGGAGGAGAAAGTCAAGCTGTCAAGTCTCCAAAGAGTAAACAGGACCACACTGTTGGGTGGACAATAAATACCTGATGATGTTTGCTGCTGCCTTCCTCTCCTGGGTCAGCAGCTCAGGGTCATGCATCACTTCCTCCAGGAAGGCGATGACCTTGGTCTTCAGCTCGTTGTTGCTCTCAAAGTCCTGGCGAAACACAAAATTAGAAGCACAACTTCACCTGAGCTGCTCTGTTTACACAGTAATGAACAGAAGAGTGGCTTCACGGTGGTACGTTTTTCACTTTAAGATACAATGTCATCAGGAAAATTACTGAAATTAAAGTTTTAAAAGTTTGTTTCAGGTAGTGAGGAAAATCTCAAATCATTATGTCAAATTATTTTGCCTGATGTCTTTTAGTTTTTTACATGTTAAATTACTTTTGTTTTTAAATCTTATTTTCTACCTCTATTAGTTTTTGGGTGTTCACTGTCAATTTCATATGATTTTTGTTTTTAATGGTGGGAAAATAATCTAGGGGCCAAATGGTGAGAGGGTGATTAGTGTTGGTGCCTTACAGCAAGATGGTCATTGGTTCGATTCTTGTGTGATCTAACAGTAAGTGTGAATGTAAGTGTGTGTGGCTCTGTGTTGATCAAAACAAAAAAAAGTTTTTAACATTTTAAATGTATTCTTGTAGTGTGGATTTTTGCTCTATCGCAGTTTTTTGCGGTATATAAAAATGTTTAAATATCCAATATTTTCTATTTATATATAATATTTAATAATTATATTATATATATTATATATATTATTATGTTTATTTTTTATTATTTTTTTAACTCTTTCATTATTATTTATATGTATATATATATTATATTATTTATTAATAATATTTATTAATAATATTTATTTGCCTATTGCGAACGTAACACGGCGACCAGTGTACTAACGAAACATTTCCCAAGAAATGAGCAATGGTAAAGGTGAGATTATGAACGGATGAGATGGCAGTTTGTTCTACTTTCTATTCCTGCCAGTAAGTGTTGGCGTTTCTCTTCCTGTTTTCTACTTCCCCCTTCCCCTCCCAGTGGCGCTGCACACCTGACGTCATTATCACTGATCACCTACTGAACCGTGTGTTCTGTTTATAAAAAGTATGAACCCGCAGCTCATCTCTGAACTGGTCCTTCTGGTCCTTCTGTGCCCGTGAGTCTGCATTGTTTCTTTTTTTTAAAAATTAATCCCAGTTATCTTTGTCAGGAATTTAACCTTTTAGTAACAAGACATTCATCTTAACCCAACCACACACATTACTTAACAACTTCATTAATACTAACCTAACCAAACCAGTTAAAAAACATTTGACATTTTCACTGCCTAAGCTATAAATAATAATAAAAATATATATACAAAAACAGTCCAGTGATAACTTAACCCCCTTTTGTTTAATTAAAATGGTATTTTCTTCTGTCAAAATAGTACATGTAGCTCCGTTTTCTAGCATATAGCAGTTGCTAAATTCATATTTGCATAATTTATATAAAAATGTTTTTTTTAGCTGATTACTGATGTCTATATTTTTAGTGACATTCAGCAAATTAGCAACAACACGTAGTGATGTGATAGTATGGGTTTTTGTGACATGTTGCTGTCGTACTAGCATGTTAGCATGTTTGGTTTAGCTAACTCCTCTAACACCGTCAGCTTTACTTCTTCTCTTTTTTGTTTTGAGTCACATTGCTGCCACCTACTGGATCTCTTCGCACTGGTAAATATTGTCACCTTAGCTACTGCCATTAGAGAGAAAGAAGAAGAAAAAATATATATCGAGAGAGATAGAAACCTAACTGTTAATATTTTCTAATATTATCCTGCTGATACCGCAGTAGCATAAGGTCAAACATAAATAAAAGTTAGCCAAAAAATTACAGTATATTTTATTATTATACATTATATAAATATTTTAAGTATCTATATCCCTGGGTTGTATCGTTTTACCGGTGAGTGTTTGGACACCCAGTGTCTGAGAACATTCAGAACTCTGTTGGTCGCTGCTCGTCTGATCACAAACTCTTTGTCTCCATTTCTCTGATCAGTCGGGAAACCTGAGAGGAAAAAACACGTCGATTATTTATTTTATGATCATTATTATTTTTAATCAAACTAAATGTACAACTGCTTGAAAATGAACTGATGTGGTGCAGTTCCATAGTGGGGTGGTGGGTGAGAGTACCGGTGCTGGCGAGGGACATTCGTCGATACTTCTCTTTGGTTGGCGTGCCCTCGTTGGCTCCAGCTGTGGCTATCGCGAAGGCAGAGGCTGCCGACAGGGCACTGCGGTTGTTGTCCAGTTCTCGACACGTGGACATCACCATGCCGTTGTTGTAGGAGAACAGGGAGAATTCTAAGAAACCATAATCAAAAATAAATAAAGGAGGAATAAACCACAGGCGCTGGAAGGCTTACAATTTCAGATTGTTGGTACTTTGTCTCCCTCTAGTGGTATACAGCGGAATCTGCTCCGATAGTTGTTTGTTTTTGGGTTTTTTTTTGTATAGTGTGGCTTTGATATTTAGATAATTTGTATTTGGAATACATTCTCTTCCCTGTACTGGTGAACTGTGCTGTTTTTATTTAATCGTTGTTTATACTGATTGCACATGGAGAATCCAATTTTTTCCCGAGGTTGCACGTGGGATAGTGGCACATGAATAATCATTTTTTCCCGAGGTTGCACGTGGGATAAAAGGTGTAAAAAAATAGTTTATATGAAGTAAATAGAATCAAGTTTGTCTTTTCGTTTTCATTTTACGAGATAAATAAAGAAAGCAAACTGCTGCCATTTTTTTAAACACTTCTCCCACTAGGGGGAAGTACAGGCCAGCACACTCCATTCTATTCTTTCCAGGAGGCTTTGATAATCAAGATGGTTGCAGCTAAATATAGCCACCAAATATCAGCAGAGCAGAGGAATCAACAGATTCTCTGCAGTCTCTGCTGCATTTGTATATTTATATATATATATATAAATATATATATATAAAAACTCAGACGCAGTCATGGATCCTGATCCAGACCCCATTGGTCCAACATCACGGTCCAGGAGTTCCACAGTTTCCTCTGCAGTAATTCATTAGTCCACACTGGGCTTTACTTAAAGAAATCTTCCATCTGTGGACGAGGTGTTTGTTGTTTTGTGATTATGAGGCAGAGACAGTGTTGGCTCCAGTGAAAGCTCCTCATTACCGTGGGTGGCAGGGAAAACACAGAGCTGATGTAGTTGCTATGACACAAGTTTTCCCTCACACCTACAGAAACCAGGCTCCGGCTTTTCCTGCACGTTCAGAACCGCATCAACACTTCAAGATTTCTATAGGAATAACAACTGTTTGATATGCATTTGGTGACATACCAAATGATATTAACTGTAAAGTGCCATTTTGTCTAAGTAAAGCTTTTATATTTATATATTTATATTATATAACTTGCATGTTGTTGTTTAACTATAATAACCAGCTTTGCTTGCATTAAAGGCTAACAATTCACTGTTTTTGTTTCTGTTTTTAAGATAAATTCTTATTTTTCTGTCATTAATTTCTATCATCTTTTGTTTCATTTATGTTCTTTAATGCAGACTTTTACTTTTTACTTTTTTTATTCTAGGGTTCTTCCCTCTATTTTAACGAACATTTTACATGATATTTTCAGACCCTATTTCATATATTATTTTAATCAATTACCATAATTTCCAGACTATAAGTCCCACTTTTTTTTCATCCGTTGGCTGGGTTTGCGACTTATACTCAGGTGCGACTTATATATTAAAATATATAATTTCACAT